GCACCGTGCCACCGGAGCGCCCCCCCCCCACGGAATGCCGCGCCGCGCTCCCCCCACCGCCCCTTACCAGGTGCCGCCCCAAGCATGTGCTTGGTTGCCTGGTGCCTGGAGCCGGCCCTGGGGGTGCTCACTGCTCAACCCCTGGTTCTGCCACAGGCCCTGCCCCCACTCCACTCCCTCCCCTGAGCCTGCCGTGCCCTCGTTCCTTCCCCTCCCCTCCAGAGCTTCCTGCACGCCACGAAACAGCTGATGGGGAGGAAGGGCAGGGGAGGCCCTGATTGGTGGGGCGGAAGCGCTGGGAGCAGGGTTAGGAGCTGATGGGGGGCTGCTGACGTATTACTGTGGCTCTTTGGCAATGTACATTGGTAAATTCTGGCTCCCTCTCAGGCTCAGGTTGGTCACCCCTGCTATACATGGTTAAAAAAAAAGTGAGTTTTTTGTGAGGTGAAGTGGCCTTAGGCATGATCATCAGCATGTAAATTAAGTGCTTTGTTATGGGCTGCCCTCACTGGCTTCAAGGCAGGTGTAATGTGGTGGCAGCCAGCAGTGCTTTCATTAATGCAGGATCGGATTCCCTTGTGCTTCTTTTGTTCAGTTCATCACTGTTTGCCTGTGCATGGATGTGGAACACGCCATATCTGTGCATGATCTAGTTAGATTGAGGTGGTCAGAAATTTTTGACCCAAGTGTTTTTTTTTTAATGGGAAAATGGCCTTTTCTTGAAAATGAAAAAGTTTGCAAAAAAATTGATTTTTTTTAAATTCTATTTTTCATTAATTTTACTATGTTTTAAATTGAAATCTTTATTGAAGACATTATTGTAACTCATCAAAATGGTTGTAAATTATTTGAAAATGGTCTTGCTAACAATTTTGCTGCAAAAATTAAGAATTTAGAAAAAATGAATAACATGTCAATTTCAAACCCTACAAAATAGAAATAACTTTGACATTTCAATTTTCGGTGTGATTTTTAATTATTTTTTTCTGTGACTACCACTACATAAAGCTTAGTTAGCCAGTTAGAGTGGATAACTAAAAGAAAGCCATACCCCAGCATATATTGTTAAAAAGTGGCATTTAACCTTAGCAGAAGTGAAAGCAAAATCAAATTGTGAGGAAATAGGCCTGATTCTTCATTAAGCGGGCAATGGTGAGAATAGAACTATGTTTCCTACTTGTGAGACTCCAAATGGACTTCATTCTTCTCTCCAGTATAAAACAGGAGAGAATTCCACTGAGTTACACTGGGATAAGTTAGAGAAGAACAAGGCATAATATCTACCTTTTATTTGTTTTAGACCACATCTGTATGTATTTGTATTTCAGTAACATTATTGGCCCAGATTTGCCCTCTGAAACCCAGCAGATGGGGAGACTTCTCTTCTTTGCCAAATGTGCCCAGGGCTCAGTCCTGAGGCAGAGTAGGCCCACTGCTAGATTAGTGGTACCAGAAATGACAGGTGGCAGAGGTCACATGGAGGTTGATAAGTTCTCTAACCTGAGCAATTCAGACCTAGGGAAAGTTGGACTGACGAGGTAAAAAAGAAAAGGCAATATTTCCAAATCCATGGCTGGGCTAACCAACCCTGCAAGCCAAGGGTTTAGAAAAGAAGGAAATAACATGGTAGTATCCAGTGTCTTAGAGGCCTTTCATTTCTAACCTGCCTGCTGCATCTTGAGCTAAGACTACCCAACTACCATAGGGTGCAGACTCAGGTAAGCAGACCTTGCCTATTAATTTACAAGCTAAGTGTTTCAAATCTTAACAGCCCTCTTGAGGCAGCCCCTCTATTGACACTAGAAGAAGTTCTTTCCCTCTAATTGCCAAACTCATTGCCAACGAACCAAAATTTGGGGTTGAAATGGGGGAAAGGGTAAACACCCACAAAAAGTCCTACAGTGTGTGCGAGAAGGGCTAAAATTGTATTTCAACTGTTCCAAGGTAAAGGGTTCCCTCCTTCACTAATAAGTCTACAGAGTTATACCTCTCTGACATAAAAGGAGATAAGAGAGAGCATAGAGCTTTCTGCTTTAGAATTAACGCCAAGCAGAAACTCTCAGATGGGCTGAATATGTCTCATATTTGTATTCCCCAAGTGACTGGAGGATTATGTCCAGTTTTGAACCTAAAGCCCTTAAACCTCTTTAGAAATGCCAAGCCATTTCATCAGGACAGCCTCAAAAACTTTAAAATCATGGAGTGAAATCCTGGCCCCATTGAAGACAAGGTGAGTTTTGCCATTGACTGTAATGGAACTATGACTTCACCCAAGGTTTACAAAGGAAATTTTCTAGGAAAAACAGATCTGAGCAAATTGAGAAAAGTTTTACTTAGCTTTCCCATGTCTCCCAACTACAGGAAACTTGTAAACTTTTCCTGAAAAGCAGCACTATGTCAAGGAGCCAGATCAGCTACTCACCCCCTAAAATCCAGAGAAGTGAAAATATGTATTTACTTAGATAATAATTTAATTACATCAGTCAAAAGAGCTCCTAAAACTTCTATAATGGCCACAGTCCTCTTTGAAGAGAATTTGGGTTTCTTGAAAATATAGAAAAGTCTACATTAATCACATCTCCCATTTAGGCTTTCTGTGATTCGTGGGATTTCCTTCATCAAAAATTGATCCATAACGAATAAGTACCAGGAGTTAAGGGTTGCTCCCTCCATCTCCCAGAGGCAATTAGAAAAGCTACTCCAACAGCTCCACTCCCTGCCTTCCCTCTGGGCATTCTCTACTAAATATGTATCCATAGGTGCTTACTGGTTGCAAGGCTAAGGGTAAACAACTGGGAAGTGTTTCCCTTTTGCAGGTCTCTGACATCACGGAAGGGGAACTCAGTGTTTTTAGCACTCCACCACTTTCTAGGCCCACATTGCACAGATCCTCAGGAGTCATGTCTCAAAGTCGTGGCTTCATGTTTCTCATCGCAGGGTCACTGGGCCATGGAACTTGTCAGAGGCCCCTCTTTGCAGCTTATTGCTACCATTAGCACAAATTGTGCATATTAACACAGATTATAGCTACTTTGTGTTCTGGAAAAGTCTCATTTCCGGGCTCCCATATACATGTTTTTTCAGACATCAGTGCGGTAGTGTCCGATATCCCCAAACTAGGGGGAACCAATTGAACAATGGGGAAGTTCTGCCAGAGCATAAGACTCTCCAACTGTTAAATACATTAGATAGACATAGAATATAGGGCCAGTGCTTGGTTCATGGGGACAGATGACCTGGACATATTCCTTAAATTGTGTTTACTGTTTGGAGTGGGTAGGGAGCCCGTGGCACTGGATCTGACATTCTTGAAATTGCCATACACAGCTGCAGCGGGAAAAGATGATTTCTTGGTTCCCCCAGAGAAACCCACAATTTCTCATATTTGTTTTCCCTTTTCCCCTATACTTTACAAAGATCTGTCAGAGGTGATAAATGATGGCCCAGATTGGTGCCTCTTGATCTGCTCACTGGGTGAAGTTCACCCCATGGCTTCATTCTGAAACCCCCATAAGCCTAGGGAAGTTAAGCAGAGTGACCCAGAAGCAGAAGCTCAGCTCTTCAGTCAAAGACTCTCTGCTGATTGCATATCTGCTCGCAGTGATTCCTTGCAAACTGCAGGATTTATGGAGCACACTGTTAAATTCCTGCTTTCAAGTTGGTAGGGACTTTGGTGTGTAGGCAGAAATCAAAGGCAGGGGATTAATATTCCTTTTCAGGATTCAAGTCTCTAATCAATGACTATTGAGGACTCTGTTCAAGCTACTCTGATGCTCCTTAAGATGCGAGACTCTAGACGCCTCTAAAGAGTCCGGCCTTGTGCACTAATGACTGCTAGATAGATGCCTAAACAGCGGTGTGTGCATGTTAATCAGACATTTTTGTATGTGCAATGGAGGCATATATTTCCATACACATCTTACTGAAAATCAGGCTTTGAAGGAATACAAGTTTCTTTTGTTGAGGACAACCAAAACTGACTGTAATCCTACTCTGCTTTGTCTGGTCAGAGACTGGCAGAAGTTAGTATATCCTCCTGCTTATATAAATACAGTGAAAAGGCTATGGACATTGTTAGTACAAATACTGGGCCTGAAACTCCTCCAACTGAGGTTAATTTGGACACTGCAAAATCGAGAGCTTTAATGTTTTTTTCAGAAGCATGATAGAGTAAGCACCTAGCTCTGCTTTGATAGTAAGGCAGACCCAGCTAACATACCTGCAGTTGTGTGACCTGTCCTCTAGTCTCCTGTGCACACGCAGCATGCACTCAGTAGTCTACTATTTTCAATTAGCCCTCCAAAGATTGTTGCACCCTGACCATTCTGGGGTACTCCACAGTGCCTCACGGACCCTCTTCTCATCTGTTACTGTCCACACCCTCCATCTACCCACCCACCGTGCATACTTCACAATTAGAATCTCTCTCTGTTTTCTCCTTAGAAGGATTTTAAGGAATTTATCAGTAGGCATTAGTACTGAGGGCAAATGAACCTCTGCAAAATATGAAATGAGGACATTTTACAGAGAACTAAAAGAAAATGATTTGGCTGTTTCTCCCCAGGGCAATAGCCCTTCTCTTTCATACTGCACTGATGTGCTTATGGATAATATCACCAAAAGATTTGCTCTGCTTAATCTTCTTTCCAGATTAATACAACCAATAAAGAAGACGGTGATCAGGAGGAGGAGGAGGAGGAAGATGGAATTTATGTGGCCATGCTGAGCTCAGCCCCTCACATTACCTCTCGTAAGTCATATTGTCTGAAAGGTTTCAGGTACCACGTCCTTGATACTGTGTGGTATTAACTGAGAAATGGTGATATCTAGAGACTGGAGGGGACTGTATACACACACAAGAGGACAAAGTTATAGTTAACCTTAACTTGCAGATTTCCTGACTTTTTAGTGCTTAGCTGTGTGACCTAACGGCTCAGGCATGCCTTTAAACACTGGTCCATGGGGGAATGTACCTTTTGCTACACACTCTTTCAAGGGGTGCAACATGCTTTCCCCTTGGCGGCCACCCAGATCCACGGGCTGATGTGGAGAGTGGCAGATCCATTTCTCTCCACCCCTCCTGTGCTCTATCGCAGAGCAGCCCTGTGCTAGAGGAGGGCAGTGCCTACAGTTGCCATTAGATCCTGCATGGAAGCACAATTGGGAAGCTCTTTGCAGCTTCCTCTTCGCACATCTGTACAAACATGGACCTGGCCCTTAATGTTTCAGTAATGTTGGCTGAGATTTGCAAGGGAACCTAAGAGAGTAAGGGAAGAGCTGCAGGTTTTTTTGCATTTAGCAATGACACTTATTCCACAGATCCATGATAACTGTGTAAGAAAGGCCAGCCCATATTCTGTTTGTATTTTACTGGACTTGATACCTTCCCAGTTGTCTCACCTTCTGTATTAGATTGCTGCGCCTTACAGGCTAAATTATGAGTCTCTTCGTCCAACACACCTAGACAGTGGGCAACCATAATTTGACTTTGAGGGCTAGAAGTCTGGCTAGCACTGTTAGTGCTTACTGCCCTAGGTAGGGCATTACATTACCCTGCCCTGGATGTGGATATAAAAATGATGGTCCAGTTTGCAAATGAACTGAAGTACCGTACTCAGCACTAGGGACAAATCTTCATAGCAGATCCTTCACAACTAAGGATCCTTTAATAAGGTGCAACAAAAGATGCTTCTCCTTCTACTTCCCTTGGTACCTCTGGTGGCATTCTGTCTTGTACAGACGTAAAGATTCCTTTCACACCTCTCACATACTACTGATGTTTTCCCCACCCGCCCCCATTCCACTGACTCGGGGGACCATAATTTGGCCTTTTTTACAAAGAGAAAAAAATAGTGATGAATGGGTTTGTCTATTATATTTAGAAGCACTTATCTTTCCGTCATGCATGAGGCAGTGCAAAGTAGTCAGGTATTTTGGGGGGGGGGTGATGGTCTAGAATTTTTTTGGAAAATACCAAGAATGGAAAAGAAAGAAGTTTTCCAATAAATTCTATCTCAAATGCGCCCTAAGTGAAACAGCTTTCTTAAAATATTAACATATAAATTGTGGGTTAAAATTGAGAGGGTTGGCAGAAGAATAGAAACATATGTAAGTTAAATGCTTCTAATATTGGAAATAATGGAGGGTCTTCATAATGTTTATTAGATAGTCTAGAAATGGATACAATTTTAAAAGAGGATGGAGGGAATAAGTTACATGGTTTCCCCTTGTTATTTTAGCTAAATCCTTATGCTGTACATAGTGCTGAAAATTTACTGTTATGTATTTTTCCACTATATCCTTATTTTTGGTCCAAAGGCCACTAAAGCCATAAAGCTCACTACAAACCACATATCCCAGGGGAAATATTTATTTCATTTTAAAGAATGTTAAAATGATAAGCAGCCAAGCTACAGTATATTAAAAATAAGTGATACGGATGCATAAGTTGTAGCATATTTTACTAACTCATGTGGGTTGTGCTGCTTTGAAAATCAGGCAGTACAGATTGTGGGGAAAGGGTAGATTCCACTCCACCAATATCTCTGAAAAATCCTATTGTTATTGTATACATGAATATGTTGTGTACTGAGGTAGCAAGATATAATGAAAGCTTCCACTGTTCATTTGGTAAATATTTTAAAAGCCATTCACTGAAGTTATACATTTGACAGCTTTCCACTGTATTAGTTCATAAAAGTTTTATTAGCAGTGCTGGTACTTCTATGGAAATCTGTGAAACACAAAATGCTTCCAGTTGGCAAATTTTAAATAAACAATGCATTCTTTAGCATTAACAGACAGACAGAGTATAGGAGACCAGAGTGGAGTCAGACAGAAAGCCTGGGAGGAATCAGGCAAGAGGGAAGAGGAGAAGAAGGAAGAAAAGGAAGAGGAAGCTAAAGAAGTCAAGGAAGTGGAAGAAAAGAAAGATGAAGAAAATAATTCAGAGGAAAAGTCATACAGCTTTGATGACGACAATGACAATTTATATGCCAGCATACCTGATGACAATCCTGAAGTGGGTGGAAGAGACTCCTTTTTCCTGGACAAGCCACCCCTACCTCCTCGAGATCCATCTCCCACTATAAAACAAGATTATATTCACTACTTTTCACAAGGTATAGTCTTGCCAAAAAAATAATTTTTCATCATATGTGTAATACTTGTTAAATGCTTCTGTAGAGATTCTATATGGTAGGGTTACCATATCTAACAAATAAAAAAAGAGGACCCTCCACGGGCCCTTGCCCCGCCCATTTCCCCACCCCTCAGCCCCGTCCCAACTCCACCCCTTCCCCGCCCTAACTCCGCCCCCTCCTCCCTCCCACTCCCAGCCACGTGGAACGAGCTGCCCAAGCGCTACAGGCTTCACGGTTTGCCGGGCAGCCCCCAGACCCTGCGCCCCCGGCTGGCGCTTCCCCAGCGCAGCTGGAGCCCGGGAGGGGAAGCGCCCCAGCCGGGGGCGCAGGGTCTGGAGGCTGCCCGGCAAACCGTGAAGCCGGTAGCACTTGGGCTTCAGGCAGCCCCCTTGCCTCCGGACCCTGCGCCCCAGCCGGGCACTTCCCCTCCCGGGCTCCGGCGGCGCAGGGTCCGGAGGCATGGGGGCTGCCTGAAGCCCATAACGCTTGGGCAGCTCGGCTCTTAAACAGAGCCGAAGAGTCAGGGGAGGAGCAGAGCCACCGCGGCAGGGGAAGTGCCTGGCCGGCATTTTCCCGGACATGTTCGGCTTTTTGGCAATTCCCCCCGGACGGGGGTTTGAGTGCCGAAAAGCTGGACATGTCCGGGAAAAAGAGGATGTATGGTAACCCTACTTTATGGACATGGCTAATGGTGGTTGGCTAGTCAGTAAGGCCCTGATTCAGCAAAACAAACAAGTGCTTAATTGCATTGCTGAGTCAAGGCCTAAGTCACTAAGTACTACAGATAGTGTAGTGATGGTAGACTGTGGAGCACTAGTTCCAGGCAGAGTTTTCTTCCTCCTAACCCATCTCAGAGATTCATAAAATAATACATGGTGCATAGGATTATAAGGAAGGTTTTAGACACAATATTAAGATGTTAGTTAACTTATATTTAAATTGTTGCTTGTTTGCGAAGCTTGCAATGCCACAGGTAAAATTAATAGAATTTACTTTATGTATTCTAGTAGGGAAAAGTAACCCAATATTGTATTAAGTGTAAGTTCTAGCTAGTATTGTAGTAGAAATGTAGCCATCTGTTGAATTATAGAGTGGACAATGATCTTGGTATTCCTGTTTGTGATGAAAGGCTGACATCATGACCATAATGCGCTGACAGGGCTGTCACATGGATTTTTTAAAACCTGACTCATGGAACAAAAATCTAAAATTAAATTTGATAGTTTGCATTCCCCCTATGAAAAGGCTAAAAAAATAAAAAAAAAAAGGAATGATGTGGTGGCACTTCTAGAAGGGTGATAATAGTTTTCCTAATGGAAAAAAATGGGAAAGAGCAAATCCTTAAATGCCAAATGTAGATGTTGAGCTAATAACAAAAATAAGCTTGCCCTTTGCAAACACTATCTGTAAGTATCCAGATAAGTCCATTCTGAATTTGCTGCACATATGTTTGTCTTTAATAGATGATGAAAATCTGAGAACTCTGACCATAATCTCTGGTTCTTATTTGAGTACGAATCAGTGTAGGTGTGCATGCTCCCCAGGCACACAAGCGCAGATTCTTTTTGCTAGCAGTGTCCATTGGGGCTGTGCATGAACCCTATACCTCCTCATGCTTCCATACAAGGACAGAAAGGGTGGGATGCCCCTGGCGGTCTCTGTTTCCTCTGACCACCCATGGCAATGAGACAGAACCTTGTGGTGTCCTATCTGCTGACAACTCTATTATTATATCTTCATCTAAACTTCTTGAAACACTTCAGAGCAGCCTTCAGTCTCTTACAACATTTTGGACTGAATAATCCGTGGCTGGATATAAATTCTTCAACCTAACCCCTCCTGTATGAACGAATGAACAAACAGACACACACACGACTCCTCTGTAAAAGGATCTTAACTTGGTGGGTTCAAAACCTGTATGCTTCCAGCTGTGCCCAACCAGTGATGGACTAATTCCACTTAAAGATGGTATGAGGGTTTACGCCCCTCCTTACAGGGCAGCACGGCCTAGTGGCCAGAGTCCATAGGATCAACCCTTGTCGCAGGGTAGCACGGCCTAGTGGCCAGAGTTCATATAACCACCCCTGGTTGCAGGGCAGCACGGCCTAATGGCCAGAGTCCATGTAAGCGCCCCTGGTTGCAGAGCAGCACGGCCTAATGGCCAGAGTCCATATAAGCGCCCCTGGTTGCAGGGCCATAGGACCTTACTACTGGCTCAGCGAGGGGGTCCTACCGAAACACGCTGAGGCTTACCGGGGTCAAGGTACCAGTCCGTCACCTCCCCCGGGTCGCTCCCTACCGGCTGGGGAGTTGGGGTCTCCCACGGATCCTAGGGTTCTCCGTGAGTCTCCGGATCCATCGCCTCCTCTGGTTCCTCCCACAGCAGGGGTTCGTGCCGGCCTATAAAAGCCTCTGTTCCTGGCAGCTTCAAGAGCGTCGGCTGGTCCTCTGCAGGAGCTTCCCAGTTAGGTCCTTCCCCTGCGGCCGCCAGCCCCAACTGAGCTGAGTTCCCTCCTTTTATACTCAGTGAGCATCTGGAGCATGCCCAGTACGAACGGGGTGGGACTTCCTCTGTCAGAGCTAGTGGTCTGACGTCGCTGGGGCCAGTGCAGGGCAGGGCTGCCCTATCACAGATGGGTACAGCAGGTGCCTTTTCTGCCAGGGTAAATTCCACATTCTGGTTTGCCTTTCTTTTGCTGCTTGAACCCCAAAATCGTGAGATGCAAAACTTAAACTCCATTTTTACAACAATCCATGAGAGTGGCATTGGACTCAGAAGATCTGGGCTCAAACTCCCATAGTAGCCAAACCTTCATCCTCGTGTGCTCCGTCAGGGGGACAGATGATACCTAAGACTTCAGCAGAGAAGTTGGCACCAAGTGAGGAACCATCACCAACACCGACCACAGCACTGACTACATCAACACTGACCAGAACTGCTGAGGGCATGGACAGCAAAACCTCAGACATCAGAGCAGGTCACTGAAAGAGGCCACCTAGAACACTGAGGCAGGAGCTTCAGGAAGAGCTCAGTGTCCTCTCATGTAGAGACACAGGAAAGCATCAGGGATAAATCATCAAACTCTCCTAGCACTGAAGATGAGTGAAAAGGAGCAAACTACAGTGCAGCAGATTTCCTTGATTCTGGACCCCACTGCCAACTCCAACCTTGGTATTATGGGGGAACAATTGTGGACTGCAGAATGGTCATCAGCACTGAGATGTCCACTGGTACTGACAGAAGCACTGCACCCCTATCCAGTGGTGGCACTATACCCACTGGCACTGCCCATGTGGGACACATACTCATCATCACTGGGGCACACTTCACCAGTATCGAGCAGGAAGCCGTCCCCCTTATGGTCACTGAAAAAAAACATAAGAGTTCTTTAGAATTCAGCCACTGCATCAGGACTGGCATTGGTCCTGTCAGCAACCTTCCAACCACCTGTATTCATACGGGATACCAGTCTGGCCCTTCTTGGGCTAAACAGTCCTCCTTTGCAAGCCTGAAGGAGCCATGCTTCTCCATCAAGAAAGAGAAGATCTCCCTCTCCGGCAGCCTAATTGGCAAGTCTGCAGACCCCAGAGTACCAGGAGGAGCGGGACCTGTAGGCACAAATCCATCAGCATCTGGCATTGCCCCTCAAAGACCTTTCCTAATCGTCAACCAGCAAGGTGGTCACCTCAGCATTGATACCAATGCTGGATGATTTCAAAGCATTCCAAGAGCTCCTGGTATGGATCGCAGACACACTGGAGATCCAGACTTCAGTAATATCTGAAAAATCTCACAAGCTATTCATTTTCCTATCTTCACCTTCTCCATAAATGTGGGATTGCTAGATCCAGCATGAACTCCATGGCAACTGCTGGCCACTGTATCACTAACAACAAACATATCAAGAAAAGATACCAGGTGCCACCTTCCAGGTTCAAGTATTTTTATTTTCACCCTAATCCCAATCTCTAGTGGTCTCAGTCATCCAAGAAAAATCGCATTTGGCCAAGAATATGCATAAAGATCCCAAATGATTGGATCTGCTATCTCTATATCACCAGTGAGTGGTGGCTAATTGCCAGGCTCTCCTAGACAAATGAGAGTTTCTTACATGGGACAGAGCAACAAGCAACAAGCTCCCTCACAAGGCTTGAGAGGAGCTTAAAGACATTGGAAAAGATGGACAATTGGCGGCAAATATGTCCCCGCAATCCACAATGGATGTAGCTAGATACACAAGCACTGTGGTGTTAGTGAGGAGGGTATCCTGTCTCCAAGCTTAGGGAATTCCTCATGAAATGCAAGCCATAACTGAGGATTTGCCATTCTCACTCTGGACATTTCCAGAGCCCTACAGGCGAGTCTCATCTTACGCGGGGTTCCGTTCCGTGGTTAGCGTGTAAAGCGAAAACTGCGTATAGTCAAAACTACATTGAGTTGAATGGTGGGCGGAATCGCCCGCACTACAGGTACAGTATTAAAATTGTTATTTTTCTCTCTTTTTTTTTTTGCCGACCGCGTAAAGCTGAAATCGCGCATGTTAAATGTGCGTAAGATGCGACAGACCTATATTTTAATACCTAAAGAGGAGTAAACCCTTCCAGCACCCTCCCTGTTTCTTTGTGTATTGAAAGGCAAAGTGATCTCTCCACGGAGACTCTCCAAGTGGATTACACGATGCATTTCCACTTGTTACTATCTGGTTGGTGAGCCTCACATGTGAACGTCAAGACTCGCTTTACCAGAGCTCAAGCGAGCAAGTCGGCATTTGTCAGAAATGTGCCAGATTCACAGAGCTGTAAGGCAACTACATGGACAAACCCACTGACCTTCTTTAAACATTATGTACTTGACATGCAGCCAGGGCAGATGCCAAGTTCCGAAGAGTAGTACTTCATTTTTTATTTGATTAGCACAGATGATATTCCTCATACCCACTCAGGGGGGACTGGAACAATTTGTATAGGGCGGGTGCTGA